GTTCATTAACCCGTTGCGCCAAAGACGATGCGTCGCTTAAAGTGGAACGTGTTTGAGCTCTCATATGCATGTGTGTGTGAGTGTGTGTGTGTGAGTGTGTGTGTGTGTGCTTGTGACTCTCTGTGTGTATTTATAGACCTAATTTGTAGCACTGTGTATTGCCAGCAGCAAGTAACTGAATTAATTTTATTTGTGTGCGTGCTCTCTGCTCTCGCTCCACCCGCTCTCCTGCTCTCCTACAATAAGCGGATCAGCTTGTCCTCATCTGGCGTTTGGCCATCACGGATCATTGAAACGCGCCAAGTGCAGGGCCAGCCAATGCAGTCGCACTCTGCGTCTCTCGCTGTTTCTATCTCCCTCGCTCTGCCTAATGTAGGGTACTGAATGCATGCGGGTGCGGCTTTTGATGTGTTTTTGCTCTCACCCAAAGAAGCGGTATTTTATATGTGGGATTTTTTTGTTCCCCATTTGTGGTGTTGTTTGCGCTTGTGTGCATGTGCGCTTGTGCCTGTGTTTGTGTTTCTCAGCGCGTGCTTAATTATACAAAATGTGTTTTGCGCTCGGCTTAACAGCCCAGTGATTTATTTTGGTAGCTCGCTGGCGGCAGCATTCGAATGATGAATTTATTTGTGTGTGAATGCGTTTGGCATGTGGAATGTGTGTGTGCCTGTGTGCTGCATTTGTTGTTGCAATAATAAATTGTGGGCATGGAATTCATAAAGGTGATATCAAGCATGTGAGAAATTTAGTTTGGATTTATGATGCTGAACTACTGCAGGACATTTATCAATGTGGATTGTAAGTAGTGGAACTGATTGTGGATTGTGATGTTATAAATAAGTATATACATACACATGTGTTTGTGGCAGATGAGCTATGCATAGGGATATTTTAAGGGAAATTTACGTTGTATATCTTCTATTTCTATTATGTGGGTCATATCTGAAAATTGTAATAAGGGACTCAGACATAGGCACAGATTCATTAATTTACTGATTTCATGTTCATTTCACATAATTTGGCTTTATTCGTACCATGGGAACCAGTTGACCGTCATCATAATCGTCGTTCAGGGGTCTCTAGTCGCTGCAACTATTAAATTTTTAATTTTTTTTGTAATTACACAATTTGACATTTTCATTAATTGAGCTTAATTGCTGACATTTGCGAATGGTTGTGTTTCACTGTGCTTTTTGTTTTCCGTCGCTTAATTGCATTTTCTGTTACAATTTCATTTGTAACTGCTGCTGTTGTTGTTGTTGTGTTGTTGTAAAACAAGCCGCCAGCCACTTGACGCGACCTTTGCCAACTTGCCAACTCGCCAATTCATTAATAAATTGCTCAAATAGCTTTAAAACAGCTTTTTTCAAAACTGTTGTTGGCTGCTCAGTTGTCACCACGTCACAGCGATGTTTCAGTGTTGCCCATATGGCTGAAATCTCGCTAACAGCTTTAAGCGGCGGATGTGGCTGATAAATCGTAATTAGAGTTATTTTAGCCTTTAACACGAAGAATTCAAGAATACAATATCAGTAATTTTCATTACTTCCCTTTCCAATAAATATCTGAAGTAATTCATTTTATGTGCTGCTATCTTGGGCGTCAAAGCTTTTCACATGAAATTGACACAGATTTTCATCAAATTAATTGTTGTGGGGCGTTTAAAGTGAGCGCCGCACACTCAACAAGCAAAAACATGTCAAAGTGTGCTACAAGTGCCACGCACACTTACACATACACACGTGTACAGTGTACCACGCCTACACCAGACACGCTTATCAGTAGCCATAAACAGCTCTAGCAACAGTCGTCGCTCTCTTAAAAAAAAAAAAAAAAACTTTGCTTCCGCCGCGCTCAGTATGTCCATAGCGCCGTTACAAAGTGTAGCAGAGAGAGTGAGATCGCTAGAGGGGGCCAGACAGCGAGAGTCTATGCTGGGTGAGATGTTTGTGCTGGTGTGTGTGAGCGCACAGCAGCACGACGTCGTGTCGTTTCAATTTATTACACTTTGACAGCTTTCCGAAACACTGTGCGACGCGCTGTGCGACTTTTAATTAAAATACAAAATTTAATTTACGCACGCTATGCAGCGTAGCTAGCAAAACTTTGTTACTAAAATTAAAAATTGAATGCTGAACAACAAGAGCTTATCAGCACACAGACAAAAACTCGTACACCAATGCGAAATCAAAGTGAAAAGGAGAAAACGCGATAAACACAAATCAAAGCAGCAGCAGCAGCAGCTCACAAACGGCGCCCACACACACACACACACACGTGCACGTTTGCTCTCCTTCTCTTACACTCACACTCTATTACACTGCGGCTGTTTACATTGAGGCTGTTAATATTGTTGTTCTCGCTGTGTGTAGAGCATTTGCTGATTTGTCGTTTTTGTGTTGGGCTGCCTTGCCTCAATTGATTTGAATTGAATTATAATTAGGTGATAAATGGGTCTTTATTAATATTTTTAACGTTAATAGCATAAGAACCAATAAGCTGTTTGCATTGATTACAGCAGAACATTAGATGTTTATCTGTTGCATATGCCTGTTAGCAGTGATTAGCTGTTGATTAACAGTCCAATTAACAGGCGTTGTCTAACAGTTGAAGACCTTTTACTTTCATGTGCCGCCTGCTACAGTGGGTGCTCTAAATGTATGCACGCCTAACAATAGAACTCGCACATTTTTGACATTTCAATTAATTTGAGTTCAATTATAATTTCGTTTATCATTTACCGTTTCCTATACAAATCCTACACATGAATAATTTATTGAGTTTGAATCACGATTGCGTAAAATTGTTGCATAAATTATTCATAAATTAAAGCACAACAAAAAATAACTGGATTGATTAATTGAAATACTTTTTATATGTTTTTATGAATATTTTAAATACTGTTTATTTGAAAGCATTTTGTAAATAATATATTAAACGAAATGTGACAGCAGCATTACACAAAAAGCTTTTGCAAAAATTATTAAATTGCTCGGGCAGACATTCATATGAATGTATGTACACTGTAAAAAATGATTGCAGCAAAATTAAAGAATGCCTATAGAAAAGTTAAAAAAGAGAACAATATTATTTATTATATTTTAATTAATGCCGTTTTTATAAAAATTGTAATTTATTTTTATATACTTTTACAATAGTCTTTTCCGTGAGCAGCTCAAAACCCGTTTTGTATCTTTGTTATTGGGTGCATTATTGACAGCTTGTCCTGTGGCGCACACTGAAGGACACTCTGGCAACGCTGCTAGCTTTGGCTGTCATTTGCCACTTCGTTATTCTGCCCCGCTCGCTCTGCTGCTCTCCTCATCATTCGCTGCTCTGCACATGCAACTGCATATTTTAACAGCTTTGCCCTTTCAACTAACCGCCCTCTCCTCACTCCTGTCTGTCTCTCTGCATCTCTTTCGCTCGCGTGGCCTCTCGACAAGCGCTTGACGTGTGCGTGCATTGTGCTATGGGAAACTGGTTTGGAATGCGCTTACGCCTACCCGCTCTCCCTCCCATTCCTCACTCTATGCATCAATCTCTCTCGCTTGCACTGCCCTATCATGCTATCTAGGCGCAGCTTTGGCACTCGTCGCATGCCTTATGAATGATTCAAATGCATGTTATGTGCGCAAAAAGAAGACGAAAAAAATACCGCTAAGAGTTGTTGCGCTTTTTCGTGATACCCATTGATGCACTGGAGCTCTTATTGGATGCATGGAAATCTTTTTTGATATTTTCAATTTCATCTCTATTATTAACAGCAGTCAATAAATCAAACTGTTGCCTTATATCTGAGACGAAATATGTATGTACATATGTACAAACATACATAAAGTTGCTCTGATAGTTGTTGGAACAGTTAAGGAAATTTGTAAACAGACTGTAAACTGCAAACTTACTTAACAATTAATGTTAAATGTGGACTCTAGTTTAATGTTAATGTTAAACAGAATTTGCTTGCTTTTATAGGGTATATTTGGAGTCTAGAAGCCTGCGCTGTAAAATTTTCACATGATTCGAGTCGCCACCGACATCTCGTTTTTGGTGCCGGTTTCCGTTAGTCTGTTTTAACAAATTGTTGTTTTTGTTGCTGCTGTTGTATTGTGGCATTTTTAGGAGCGCTGCGACTATGACCTTTGTCAACGGAATTTGGGTACCAATTTGTGTCTCTTTTTCTTCCTCCTTTTTCGTAAAATGCTTCTGAGGATTTTGTGGTTTGAGCTGACATTAGAGAAAATGCCACTTGAATGTTTCTTTTTTCTCCATTGTATTCAATTTATTGACACGAAATTTGCAGCTGGGAAAAATTCCAGGAAATCTCGGTAGAAAATTTTTGCGATAAGCTTAGGGGAGAAATTCCTATTGCGTTAGCACTTTACAGTTAGTTGGAACTTGAGCATTTCATACAGTCTTATAAGATAAATGTGTACTGTTAGCTAACAGCTAAGTAAACAGATAACAGCTTTAGAAAAGGTTTCATAGTATTGTGGAAAATTGTTGATATAAATTTATATATTGTTAAAATGTATTGTTCCGTATTTTACAATTGGACTTTTACATAGAATCCCATAGGATTAATGCGCACTGTTAGTTAACAGCAGAAAAAGCTTTTAACAGATTGCATTGTTGTTATTTGAAAGTATTCCTATTGGAATTGGTTTCTGCGCTACCATTGGAAAGGTCTTATAAGATTTATTGATATTTTAAAAAATATGTGTATGGCACAATTGTTCATTAAAAACAATAAAAATTGTTGAATTCAAGTTTGGCTTGAAACCGAAAATATTTGCAAGTCATATTTCAAGTTGAGTTCGTCACTGAACAAAGAGCTAACAATTTATTGTGTGACCAAAAACTCGTAATCTCAACGAATAAAACTTTCATTTTCACCTTAGACATATATTTACATACATAAATTATAGTTTTATGGTATTTTTTGTTGTTTCTCTTGTCGAATTTTTGTTAATGTTGATCTTTGTATGCTTTCTTTACAGTTGACTTGTTTCTCAAGGTCTTTCGGAGACACATAAAAGGAAGAGGAAGAGGCGAGCAACAAACTGGTTATTGGTGGGGCTATGAGCTGGCAGCGGGTGTCGAGGGGACTGGAGTGTACCGGAGAGGATGCCACAAGGGGGGCAACTAGTTAAGCAACACCAACAACAAAAGCAGCAGCCGCTTGACTCTGCGTAGCATGAGAAAGAGACAGAGGGAGAGAGAGAGAGAGAGTGCGACTGCTACACAAATGTGCCAAAACAACAACAGCAGCAATAGCAGCAACGAAAAAATAATAGCAATTCATAGGAAGAGCAGCGCGTGTTAACCAAAAGTCTGATCAGAAAAGTTCTATACTGTTTACATTTACAACAACATTCACATATCCTTAGTGTGTGTATCCTATGAGTGTGTATCAATAGTAGCCAAGCATGACAGACAAAAGCAGATTGCTGCAACCAGTTAACATGAACGAGCATTGAGTTGAGCTACGTCCGAAACAGACAAAAGCTGATTGCTGCCAAACTGAACAACTGACAGTAAAGAAATCAAATTTGTCTTGCAATTGAAAATTTGTACAGTTAATAAAGGTCAAACTTTGACAGTTTGACAAGCGCACAGCATTCACACATATACATATATAGAGTTAACATGACGCTGCAAACATTTACACGCAAAATGCGCGGACGCATGCGCTCAAACACCTGTCGCATTGTCCTGCTCACCTCATTGGTTTGGGTCATATTTGACTTTGTCCTCATTGCCCGTTATTCGGACTGCATCGGTAAAGATGGCTGGCGTTGCCGGCGAGCCGGCGAATACGATGTTGAGGTGAGCTAATGATATATCGCATATAAAGGAGCTGTCATAAACTGTTATATCTCTGCCCATCCCTTTCTAGCTGCCCAACGCTGAGCGTTTGGCGGACGACAATCAGCTCGTTAATGACAATGAAATAAATACCGAGAAGTCACTGGATGGCGAGGATAATGGCGGTGGTCCGGCACCTATAATGGGTCAGGGCTTTGTCTCCGGTGGCATTTCGATGACCTATCGCAGTGTTGTCTTAAAGAAATGGTTCCAAGCACCCACAGTGCGAGAGTCTCGGGGTAAACCTGGTGAAATGGGCAAACCCGTCAAAATACCCGCCGATATGAAAGATCTCATGAAGGAGAAGTTCAAGGAGAATCAGTTCAACCTATTGGCCAGCGATATGATCTCATTGAATCGCTCGCTAACAGATGTGCGGCATGAGAAGTAAGTGTACGGAGAGGAGAGAATATCCTGTAGCTATTTAAAGTTATTAGCAGTTAGAAGAAAGAGTGAATAGTTTAGTTTACTAACTCATTATTTTAATAAACCTTATCATTATTATTTTCTAGCTGCCGTCACAAGCACTATCCTTCAAAGCTACCTACGACTTCAATAGTTATTGTCTTCCATAATGAGGCGTGGACCACCCTATTGCGCACAGTTTGGAGCGTCATCAATCGCTCGCCGCGTTCTCTACTAAAGGAGATCATATTGGTGGACGATGCCAGTGAGCGAGGTAAGCAACGAAACATAGAGCATTATATACATATAAATGTACATAGTTGTGGCAGCTAGAACAAACTTTTCTTCATCCCCCATACCCTCTTGTTCGTATTTGCATAGTTGCCTCTCATAATGTCTTCATGCCCTCACAATGCACAACGGAACTTGAGTGCCATTGGGACTTAGTGTGAGCGAGGCAGTTGGCTGCTCTCTCTCCTCTATGGTCCCGCTACATTACTTTGTTGTTGCTTGCTCTCTTTCGGTTGCTCTCTCAAATGCACACATGCATACGCAGCAAAGCTTCGTTGTTGTTAGCTATGCTTGATTATTTTTGTATGGAGTATTCAAGTGTTAGTGCGCTTGTGAAAAAACTCCTTGGAGCTTGCACACATATTCACATGCATAAGCAATACAAGCACTTTATTGCTTATGTATGTACAGACGGATTCAAGTGTGCATGCATGCTCGAAGACGTGCGTAAGTCTTGTTGCCTGTTCAAATTATACCCACGTTTCTCCGTCTCCCTCGCACTGGCGCTTGAAACTGTTGCATTTATTTAAAGTTTTTGTTGTACATTCAGTATTTTGATAAGTGTTCATCTATCTAAATGTTTCACTTTACTATTTCAGACTTCCTTGGCAAACAGCTGGAGGATTACGTGGCCAAGTTACCTGTGCGTACGTTTGTGCTGCGCACGGAGAAACGCTCGGGCCTGATTCGCGCTCGCCTGCTCGGCGCTGAGCATGTGACAGGTGAGGTGATCACCTTCCTGGACGCTCATTGCGAATGCACTGAGGGCTGGCTGGAGCCTCTGCTCGCTCGCATCGTGCAAAATCGTCGCACCGTCGTCTGCCCCATCATTGATGTCATCTCGGATGACACGTTTGAGTATATAACCGCATCGGACTCGACGTGGGGCGGCTTCAACTGGAAGCTCAACTTCAGATGGTGCGTGCCCTTACTACTTTGGCTTTCACTCAGCATAAACTTGGTTATACATATAGACTCTAATTTTAATCGAATTTTAATCTATCGAATGTGGTGCAGGTTTTATTGTTTGTAAAGTAGACAAGCTTTAACTGAGATGGCATTTTTGGTGGAGAAGTCTTTATTAGAAAATTTATAAGTTAAGGGGTGACTGAACCATAGTTCCTCAACAAGAGCTCTACAATTTTAATATAACCATATTTAATAGCTGACTTTGTTGCTTTTATCAATATTGTACATTAGATTCTCATTAAATTTTCTGTTCGTTCAGGTATCGTGTGCCGCAGCGTGAGATGGCGAGACGGAATAACGATCGCACAGCTCCGTTGAGGACGCCGACTATGGCTGGCGGATTGTTCTCGATCGACAAGGAATACTTCTATGAGATTGGCTCCTACGACGAGGGCATGGACATCTGGGGCGGTGAAAATTTGGAAATGTCATTCCGAGTAAGACCAAACGCACTGAAATATTTTCCTTCTATCGTTTTTCTATTCGTTCTTACAGCTACCAAGCCAAGCCGCAAAAAATTATAAAAAAAAGTGTTGCCCATTTGCCTACATTTATCATATAATCATTATAATAATAATAATGTTAATTATTGTTATCATTTTTCATTTACTCTACGCCTGATTTGAGTCATATCTTAATTTTTAATATATGTTTTATTTTTGTTTTCTAAATATTATTTCTAAAATTAAAAAATCGAATCACAAACAACGAAACACTAAAAAAAATACCAAATGCTGTGACAACTCTCTAGATATGGCAATGCGGTGGCATTTTAGAAATTATACCCTGCTCGCATGTGGGTCACGTGTTCCGTGACAAATCGCCGTACACCTTCCCGGGAGGCGTGGCCAAAATTGTGCTGCATAATGCGGCGCGGGTGGCCGAGGTATGGCTGGACGAGTGGCGTGATTTCTATTATGCAATGAGCACAGGTTCGCTAAAAAAAATACCGAAAATACCAAAACCAAGATTTACATTGACAAAATACAACAAAACTTATACCACACTAAATTCAATTCAATATATTCAAATACTATTAATGCGCATCTAACACTTGAATTTTTATATACATATTTTGATTGGCTTTCACTTGTTACTAAACAAAGAATAAAAAAAAAAAAAAAAAAAAAAAAAAATACTAAGAACAAAATTAACCCAAGACCAAAGAATTAGTTTCGGCTTGCCGGATTTAAAATATTTTTGCAGATATGGAAAAAATATATATGGTATTATGATTGTGAGTAGTGTACAAAGTATATAAGTATATATTTTCTTTATATATACGATAATCATTTAAAATCTGGTAAAACTTCTCAATTTTCATTACAAATATATACTTTAGTATTTATTTTAGTATTATTTTTTCACAATAACCCAATTCAAGATTTTCACTTTATAAAAAAAAGAAAACGATACAAAAGGTTTTTTTTTATCTAAATTGGTAAAACATATAGCAACAGTATATATTTTAGACAAGAAATGCAAGAATAGTTCGCTACTGCAAGAATATTTTGAAAACAGTTTCCAACCAACAAGCGCTACAATATACTAAAAATACTAAAACACATACAACAACACCAAAACACAATGCCAGAAAAACAAACCATAAACATTATTTTGAGCATAATTAACAAAACATTTGAATAATATATTGATATATATACACATATATAAAATATATATAACTAGCTAACTATATATACTACATGCATTTTATGTAATGTATCGTAACACACACAGAATATAATGTAATACTAAACTACAAAGAAAAGCTACTGCCTCTGTCGTCGCTTAACCAAATGTTAAAAATCCGACATATATATTTTTTATAATTTGTTAATGATCATAATTAGTATATTGATAAATATGGATTTGTTTAATTTTTAAATTTTCTTCATTTATATTCAAAATGTTTCGTAAATTTTTGTCTAAACGAGACGCCAAGGGCAACAGCCAAGCGCGAACTTTTTGTTATTAACTGAAAACTAACCAAAATACAATGAAATCAAAACGGAAAAATTTGGATAATACATTAATCATAACACTCATCTAACACTGAGTACTATTTTCCTTTAACTTAGGCTAAACTAAACTTAAATTTAATATTTATGTAATTTTACACGAATTGGTATTTCATATTCTAGAGATTAGTTTTTATTCCTAAGTTTTTTTTTTTTAAGTAATATATAATTTTTTGCAATTTTTTTATATAAGTTTATTTGTGACATTTTTGTAGGCGTCTCTCTCTCCCTCTCTCTCTCTCTCTCTCGTTCTTGGCTAGGATTGTTGGACTCACCTTTTGGCCATTCTCGTTGCAGCATTGAACCTGGCTTATAGAGTTTTGCCTGTTTTGCTTCGCAGCTGCTCATAACGAGTAACAGTTACTCGTCAACGTTAAGATTTACTCTCTATGAAGCTTGTTCGCTTATTGCTATTCGTTACAAATCGCTTACTTATTTTAACCTACTCGCTATAAGTACTCGTTGGTTGTTCATTACAACTACTCGTTAGAGGTACTCGTTATGTGCCTCTGCTTAGGCAGCTTCAACGACTAGCTACTCGCCACTTGCTTTAAACTATGATTGGCTACTCGTTATGAGTCAATTCATACTCACTTATTACAGCTGCTGCTTGCTATAACTAGCTATAGCGAGTAGCGAGTGTTTCACAGTAGCATATACAAAATACTCTATGATGTGCTGCACTCAAAGAGTAACCTAATTCGATAAGCTAATTATTAAGTGACCTCTATACCCAACTGCTTACCCATCCCTCTCTCACACTGCTCCGCCCTTTTTCAGCTCCCTAGGTACAGCTCCAACTCAGGTCAATATTTGCGCTTGGCCCAACTCTGTTACTGAATATATATGTGTACAACTCTATCTCTCCCTCTCTATCACTTACTCTCTCTCTCTCTTTCTTTCTTTCTCCTTAACCCCACTTTCATGATAACTCTGCCCGACTAACTGAACTCTTGACTGATTATTGGTGCCCCTGTGTCCAGGTTTGGATGTGCGGCGGCCTGCTTGAGATAGCGCCCTGTTCCCGTGTCGGTCATGTCTTTCGTAAATCAACCCCATATACCTTCCCGGGCGGTACGACGGAGATTGTTAATCATAACAATGCGCGTCTGGTCGAGGTGTGGCTGGACGACTGGAAAGAGTTCTACTACAGTTTTTATCCAGGTTAACGAACAACAACTAGAACAAAATCAAATAAAACTCTCGCTGAATGCAATTTCACTCTATCTGTCTGTCTCTCTCACCTGCTTTTCTGCTTCACTCTTTTTCTGTCTCTCTCTCTCTCTATATATCTCTCTATAATATATATATATATAGTTTAATATGTTTCATCTATATATATATATCTATATATTTCTTGTGCAAGCAGCACGCTCTGCATTTTGCAATTGTCTGTCTTATATACTACACACATATATGTATATTGTATTTACCTATATTCTATTATTCATATATATAGTTAAAATATATATATGATATATGGCATGGCCAAGTATTAAACAAAAACCCACCCATCACCCCCACAAGAACCCCCTTTATTTAATTGTGTTTTTCTGTGTATACTCGTTCACGAAGTGAAAAGAGTATATTGGTTGAGTGTAATCTCTATTTTGTACGCTCGCTCGTCTGTCTGTCTGGATGAATACAAACCATTTTTCCGCTTAAGAGGCTTAAAATCAATCATCATAAAATTTATATACTATGTAAGTAAATTCCAAATTTTCTATAACAGGAAATTTTGAATATAAATATATTGACGTATTGACAAGTCAAGATCAAAACTATATTGGATATATAAAGTTTTATCTTTAAATCTTTAAAGCATAAGGCACAACTGGAATTTTTTCAGATATATATAAGCCCTGCTAGCCTGTGAACGAGTATTGGCCAGCCGGATACGACCGGTTGAAACATTCTTATCCGTTTTTGTATAAGTCCATTGTTTTTCTTAACTTTTGCTTTGTCTATTTTCTTGTCCCATTCTTCTCACTCCCGAAGGTTCCGTTATGTCTATATATTTTTTCAAATTATTGGTTTGTATATTGTTTTGTCCAAAAGAAAAAGAAACATTCGAAATGATAATGCCACACCCACCCACACGACGCCTGTTTTTGTCCCTTCCCCGCTCTCCGACATTCACGCATTTTAGTTCGTATTTTCTATTTGATTAAGGGTATTCCATGAATTTGTTGAATTGAAATTTGTTGCACCTGGATACCCCTAATGTTATATGCTTTAAGCTATATATGCTGCGTACATTTTGTATATAGAAAAGTATATATGAATTATTATGCATGCTTTGTATAACCATATTAACTACATTTGTATATTTGCACATTTTTGGCTTCTGTTTAAATTTTTTGGGGAGGAAGTTCTGCACTCTCTCCTTTGCTTGCTTTTGTTTAATCGCACTTTGTCTGTACATAGCTGTTAACCAACACTATTGTAGCTTCAAATGAAAAAAATAATAACACCCACACGCACACTAACATAGATGTTCTACAGTTATTCTCCTGAAAGTTTACTAAAAATCTATCCCTCTTCTCTCTATGTCTTTCTCTTTGACATCCAATTTGGAACCCCTTTAGGCGCTCGCAAAGCTTCAGCTGGAGATGTTAGCGATCGTAAAGCTTTGCGTGAACGTTTGCAATGCAAAAGCTTCCGCTGGTATCTGGAGAACGTCTATCCAGAGAGCTTGATGCCACTGGATTACTACTATCTGGGCGAGGTAAGTCTTGAGTGTTCGATTTAACTTGGGGATACTCTTATTATCCTATCGAAAACTACAGTGATTAATCACTATATAAAATTTCTGATAGATACGTAATGCCGAGACTGAAACCTGCCTGGACACCATGGGTCGCAAGTACAATGAGAAGGTGGGCAGCAGCTATTGCCACGGCCTCGGCGGCAATCAGGTGTTTGCCTATACCAAGCGGCAGCAGATAATGTCGGATGATCTGTGCCTGGATGCGGCCAGCTCCAATGGGCCAGTGAATATGGTGCGCTGCCACAATATGGGCGGCAATCAGGAATGGGTGTACGATGCAGAGGTAAGTATTGGATGCATACCAATGTAAATAGATACCGAACGTAATCTGTATTGCAGGAGAAGTGGATCAGACACACGAACACGGGTCAGTGCTTGCAACGTGCCACGCGAGATGATGCAAGCACGCCGCTGCTGCGGCCCTGCAACTACTCCAAGGGACAGCAGTGGCTAATGGAGTCCAAGTTCAAGTGGCAGGCGCACTAGCTAATGGCTAAGCAGATAACTACGAACTACAACTAAAAACTAATAACTGAAGAACTTCCAATTTGTGTTTAAAATATATATGTTAACTAATTTGCCAGTAGATGGAGGAGAAGAAGTAGGAGCAGGAGCAGGAGCAGGAGCAGCAGAACATGCAGAAGGAGCAGAAGCAAGAATTCCCAGCATTGTGTGCGTGTTTTTAACTGAGTTTTCTGTAGCTCTAAGTTGATAGTTATTTCTGTTGTGTGTGTGTGAGTGCGTGTGTGCCGAATGTCTTCCCAATCAACGTGTATGCGTGCGTCTGTTTGTGTACATATATATCTCTATATAAAGCATAGATTTTGTGGTATATATATATGTATACTTCTATATATATATTGAACTAGCCCCGACCAAGTACCAATAAATTGGCATTTAAATGACATTGTGCTTCACAAAAAAATATAATAATAATATAATAATGCAACTAAGAAAGCTGCAGTCGGGCATGACCGACTGCTTAATGCTCGTTCACGGATCAGGAGCTTGCATCAAGTTAACTGTAAAATTTTGTCGGTCTTTGTAACCTATAGTTTACTCTTCGCCTCTGATGGGCGAAGTATATATATTTTTTATTTTAGCTTGACTATGCATTCCGAATTTCCAGCTTCTAACAGCTTTGACAATAGCATTTCAGTAAGGACACATAAAGTATTTCCCGTTTTTATATGCGTATCTAGAAATTCTTAACGGCTTATAGGTATTTCAAAGTCCCTAGCTTTGATGAAATCCAGGCGCCTAAATCTAGTATACCCTTTTCATTTCGTGAACGAGTATACAAATATTAATTATGTGTCATAGCAGCAAAATCGATATGAAGTTAAGCTATATGCATATATATATATATATATATATATCTGTAGCATATGGAAACCGAAGCAGCTCGCACATTCCCTTAGGTAATAAAAATATCAAGCGTTGTGTTTTATAAAATGAATATATACATATACCCATATATTTAATGGTTAAGTTACAATTTTGTTGTTTTGTTTTTTTCTTGAAATTTTCTTTCGCTTTGTACCAAATGAAACTCTTTGCGCTGCATATCATGAATTAAAAAAAAAAAAAAATTAACAGAAGCTTCTCAAATCATAATCATAAAACAAAAATTCTTAAAAAGTTAAAAATTAAATGCACGCATATCATAAACAGTGTAAAAAAGTATTTGATTAAGACCCACATCAGATATATATAAAGCAAATATATTTATAAATGATATAAATATAAATACATATATATATGAACTAATGTACAGAGTAGCTATAAAAATATACATCTAAAATAATTATTTATATACAGATATATATAATTGTGTGTGTAAAGCAATTAAAAGAAAAATAATTATATAAATTGTACTATAAAAATATTTCTCTAAGTTCGAATTTAGAGTTTTTAGACTTAGTCGAAAAGAAATAAGTAAAGAAAACACCAACAGCTCTTAAAAAAATTATTTTAAAAACTTAAGATGTAAAATTTAACAACAAATTGTGCTCAAATTTTATGCTATTTTTGCTGTTGTGTAAATATTATTTAGTGAAGTATTCCAAATCTTATAAACAAAACCTGATTAAAAACATCATCGAGACGAATATGAAAGATAAATTTATCCACCCACACACTCATATATACATGTATGTACACATATATACAAATTGATAAAAGCCAAGTAAAACTTTTTAGCTAAATTAATTTTTTAACAAAACTAAAAATAGAGTATATATATAGAGTTATATATATACGTTTAACTGGTGACGGTGCAATTTTAATTTTAGCATAAACAAGATTCAATCAAGTTGCAACAGGCTGGCCAGCATCCTCCACAATCTCCTATTTAGTTTAGCTAAATATATGATATATATACATATTATTTGTAATTTGTTTATACATTGTGTGAAATCTCCCAACAAGAAACGAAAGAAAACAAGTTATATACTATAGAGCAAGCCACCAAGTTGTAAGATGTATTTTTTTGTTTAATTAGAAATTTTTAAATTTTATAAATAAAAAATGATAAAAACTAAATGAAAAATTCAACAAAATAAATTGAATTTCTTTTTGAATTGTGTGGGAAACTCATATTTAATATTCAGATGCATACTATGAATCCTTCGTACTGAATGCTGTTAAAACTTTGGCGTTAGCTAACACTGAACGAGATTTGATGTCATGCATTTATCAATATAAATGCATGAAACTAATTCTTTTACAGGTAGTATAAATAGTAGCTCCTAACTATTTATCTATCTAATCTGTAAATTCAACTTTCTTTAGCAAAGGTAGTTTAAAATTTTCCTTTTTAGGCTAAGAGCCTAATTTTTTGGGTATCTCTCATCTATATCTACTCATGCATATGAATCTGACAAGACGAATAAACTACAGGCGCAAAATGTTTCGAAGATTTGAATTACGGGCACTTTCTGAGGCCTTTACAAGAGTTGTAGGAAATAAATTTTCGACTGGAATATACCTTATAATGAAATCAAGCAATTTTAGAAATTCAATAAGCTTCACATACAAGCCCAAAATCGAATTGTGAAATCATGTGCTGGACTGGAAAATACCCTATTTTTAACTCTCAATGGGCCAAATTTAAAATGTTTGTGCGTTATATAAATATACCTCGCATATACCATAGTCAATCGTAATTTCAATTCTTCGAAGGATTTGGGTTTCGTACATGTAAACATTTTCATCCTAGTATATATTCCAAATGATAAACTAGAATATACCCTAGTCTATTGTAATTCCAACTCTATTTGGTATTCGTATATGCAAATACTTTTCTAGATACAATTGCCACAATTTCTTATCATGAATTAGTTTGCCAAGTTCGCAAATAGATAAAAATAAACTGATCAAGAATATGCAAATATATGCCACATTGCACGTATAGCGTTCAACTACACAACGACCACTTTCACAATTGAGTACAGGGTATAATGAAAACACTATTAGCGTTACTGTTAGAAAGTAAAAACCATTTTTTTATTTGTATTTTTTTCTTCACTTTATGCTTTTAGAGAGTAAAAGCAAGAACTTTTCTTTCAACCGGCGCGGCGCAAACCACAGAAAAATTGCGTGTCGTCTATAAAACTACGGGAACTTCTAAACGTAACGGAGCATTTTGTTGTGTTTTTACTGTTCCTTCGTCTCACGCAGACGACGCACGGCGGAGCGCACTGAGGCGGCAGCGGTCGTGGAGTAGACCCAGGCACCGCCAGCAACGGTGCGCTTGCAACGCTTGCACGACCAGATGCCGACGACGGAGCGCTTCATGGAATCCTAGAGGGCGGAAGGAATTTCTATTTTGAAACTCGAACATTGAATTCGAATTTAATGCCTGCTCACCTTGCCGCAGAAAGAGCAGGTATATTTGCTGTGCTGCGTGATTTCCATCTTCTTGACCATCTTACGCAGCGAGGCACCATAACGGGTACCATATTTACCAACGATTCCAACCTTCTTGGTGCGCTTGGCCTGATTAGAGAATAAAATAAATCAGCTTTAGTATAAATTCAGTAGCACAATTATCTTAAGCACTTTAGTATACAAATTACATTGTCAACTAATGCCACATTGTTTGCTTAATCATTCAACAGTCATTTAAGTTAACAAAAAGCAGCGATTACTTGAATATTTAACGATTTTTATCAATTCGTACCATTTTTAAGTTGTTGATTTGTCAAAAAATTCAACAGGAAAGAGACGGCCTGTCAAAGCCATGACGTGAAGTAGGCTGCGCTTGCTCACAGCATATAGACAAAAGCTAAACGCTATGAAATGTGAAAAGGCGGCAAATATACGTGTATTCAAAATTCGCAAACATATAATTAACAGTAAAAGATAATTACGATAATTATTGAAATATACAATAAAATAATAGATCATTATGCGATAAGTCTAATATGGTTTACATAAATTAATGGGTCAATATTTTGGCTGGTAAACACACGGCTTATTTTGCACTTGCCAATCACGTGTTAACGTAATTTTTTGTTTCATCAGCTGTTTTGTGCAAAATGCGTTTGTTGTTACCCTGCCAGTGCTGTCCAATGTACGACGGTTGTGATAAAAAACACACACACAAAAAAAAAAAATAAGATAGAAAACGAAACGAAACGAATTTACATTCGATAGGCATTATTAGTGCGCACTTGGATTTCAACAAACGGCAACAGCAACAGCAAGACACACTGCAACAAGACGGCCGTCAGCATTTTGTTACGTTACACGCGCCCACTGTTCAAGCGAAACATGCACAGCTGTACGCTTCTGCAGGATGCTGCCAATTATCAGCCCGACACGCTGGATCTCAACACAGATGCCAAGGCGGCGGCCTACTGGTTCCCCTGCTTCCGCGAATTGGTGGGCAAATTCGCCAAACAGGCAGCAAACAGCCAGCTGGACGATGACACGGCCGAGCAGCGGGCAGCGCAGTTCCAGGCCGCATATCTGTGCCAGCTGGATGAGCACCAGAATAACATAGCCAACAATCGGGGCAAGGTGGTGCTTGGCACCAGCGAGCTGCTCAAGCTAAATGAGACAATGCTGAGGCGATACGGCTTCACAGACCCTTGGCTGCGGCAGAAGCAGCAGGAAAATGCCTCGGCCAAGGCCAGACTGAAGCAGCGCCTGCAGGAGATCGACGACATTGCCAATGAAGACGCGCGCTGGACGGAGCTGGTGCGCGGGGTTCTGGCTGGCAACATGTTCGACTGGGGTGCCCAGGCAATAGCTACCATTCTGGAGCAGGACAGCAATTTCGGTCTGCATGCGGCGCTGGAGCGCATTGAGCAGCGGCCCTGGCTGCTGGATAATCTGGATGCTTGGCTGCAGCGCCTGCACCTGAGTCCGGCACACAAGTGCGCCGTCATCTTTGTGGACAACAGCGGCGTGGATGTCGTCCTCGGAGTGCTGCCCTTTGCGCGCGAGCTGCTGCGACGTGGCACCAAGGTGCTGCTCTGCGCCAACAGCGAACCGTCGCTGAACGATGTGACCAGCCGGGAGCTGAGCGAACTGCTGGACGATTGTGCCTGCCAGTGCGATGTCCTGGACAGCGCTTGGCGCTCGGGTCGCCTGCTGGTGTACGCAAACGGACAGAGCGGACCCTGCCTGGACATGCGCACGCTGCCCCGGGAGCTGTGCGACGCCATCGCTGCCAATGAGACTGATCTGCTTGTTATCGAGGGCATGGGCCGGGCCCTCCACACCAATCTGAATGCCCAGTTCGCGTGCGAGACCCTCAAGCTGGCCGTGGTCAAGAACCGCTGGCTGGCCAAGTATCTGGGCGGCGACAAGATGTTCGCGGTCATCTGCAAGTACGAGCGCAGCTAGTGCTTGGCCGAAGGATCTTCATTTACTGTTATACTCTGCATTGTTTTTTTTAAATTACAAATTATTGTTATTGTTTGAACCGGAAGTCGAAAAAAAGCAGAAGAAGAGGAAGAAGAAGCAAACGAAGAGATGAGAACATTTTGAGATTCAATTGTCGTGTGGTTTGTCACCCAATTTAAAGACTGCTTAGAGAGAACGCGTCCCTTAGAGCAAGGACATGCAAGGACACGCAATTAAACAGTGCTGTACAACCTAATGATGTTTACAACAAAATTGTGCTTAAATGTGAAATTTGTTTTTATATTTTTTAATTACTTAAGAACCCCTCTTTTCTAATTTGTACTAAAATTGAATTTTTGGCTTTTTTTAAATACTTAAATCTTATAATATAAAAATTATTAAGGAAATTTGTTTTAGTTTTTGTGGCATTTTTGTATAACTTAAATATAATTTTTTAAAATTATGTAAATTCAATTTATTATACTCTGAACCCATTGGAAATGGGAAATCCGGGTATCATGGTTTTGTTAAAAGTATGTAACAGGCAGAAGGAGGCGTGGCAGACCCCATAAAGTGTATATATTCTTGATCAGGGCGACGGGCTGAGTCGATTTAGCCCTGTCCGTCCGCATGTATGAACGCGTCGATCTCAGATATAAGAGCTAGGATTGAAATTTTGCATAGGTTCGTGTTCGAGCTCGAGTTTTTCTCCAAAAAACGATAACTACTCTTAAAAAAATTAGTTTTTTATTTATATCTCCTACATTTTTAGAGCTACAGTCTCCAAACTTAAATATTAAATTTGCCTAACGTATTTTTTAAGTACAAATATTAAAGCTTATAAATTTAATATTAGATGTTTATTTTTGGTATCCCTAAAATATCATTTATTTTTAATAACTTTTATTATAGTTTTAAAAATGTATTGTAATTATTTAATTGACAGTTTTGTCTATAATGTCAGCCACTTGAATGTCAATTACATTTACAAACCACACACAGTTAACTTTTTATTATTAAAAGTATAAATAACAATGCCTTTTGTTTATCAAGCTCCACAGCTCCCATTAAACATTTTTCTTTCGGTCATATGGTTATAAATTAGCCAACTGATAAGCAAGCACCAACACCAAAAAAAAAAAAAAAAATAAATAAAATTTGCAGTCGGGAGTTACCGACTGCGACATACCCATTTTCTGATTTGCCACGTCCCCAATTGGTATATATACATATATTATTGTCTTACTGGTTGACTTTCTAGCACTGCCATGGCTTCTGAAATCTCGTATGATTCAATTTTTCATTTGCCACGCCCATAGTGGGCGGATTGGTAAAATTGTAATTTTTTATGCAAACCTTAAGTCACAGACGAACGGACTGTCAACAAGACAGGCATTGTACAAAACCAACATACTCATTTCATTTTCTTGAATGACTAAAATAAAACCAAAAAAAAAAAAAAAAACAAAAACAGCAACAGTGGTTGATGGTGGCGGATTAATGCCACTCGCGTCGATAAGACACGAAGCTAGCGAAACAAAAAAAACCTTTTTTATTTTCTAGCAGCTAATTGTTTATATGGAACGTGATAAAATGTTTATATGTGAAACCCATTAAAACGATTGTAATTAGCATATTATGTGTCACTTTTGTCTGTACATTTTATTCTCGGCCACCTTGCTGATAAGGTCTTTCTTTATTCCGATAATTGTGTCAACTGATAAAGCTTAACGCGATGCTGCATACCAACCCAGACTTTTGTTTCAGCCAGAGTTTCACTATAAATCACTTTTATAATTTTCTATTTTTTTTTATATGTTTAAAAAAAATTATTTGTTGTTCAATATTAAAAAAAATAAATTTTGATTTAAACTAAGGCCGGAAGGCCATATTTTATTTATTAATAAATATTAAATAAATAATTACTATTATTTTTTTTTAATTTTAATTTTTTATTTGTATGCTGCTTGAAAAATTACATTTTTATTGGATCAACAACAAAATATATAAAATCCATTCGTCGAGTCTTGTATGAGGTACTGATAAGATAATAAGGAAATACGCCAGACAAAACAAACACAAAACGATTAATTTTGATGATGTTGAAAATAAAATATTATCATAAAAAATTATATAACAAAATAATGTCAAATAATAAATGTATATTTGTACTTAAAAGATAGATGTATATGAAAAAATAAGTATATATAAATGAAAAAAAAAAAAAAAAAGATTTGCATCATTAAAAAAAAAAAAAAATAAAAAAAATTGAGATAACAAATATGTATAGCCCCATAAAATTGATTCTTAGTTGTAAGACACATTTTTTTTCACTTAATGTTTCATATGCTATCTGTGTTAAAGTAAACAATAACAAACGATACCAATGATAGCTTAAAGTCATATCTAACAGGGTGGACAATAGACGAGAGTTCTAAGATCTGTAAAAACTTCTTTGAATACAATATATTATCCATATTATAAGTCAAATTTTTTTTAACAATGTTTAAGTAAAATGCAAATAAAAATAAAAAATATAAATTAAAAAATATTTAATAATTATTTGTTCTCACTTTCAGCCGGGCAATGTCGGGTATTTGCTGTCCGTCGTAAATAAATCAAAAGCGAAACTCTGGGAGACGAACCGTTATCGCGAATTGAATTCATTCGTCTAGTTGAGTCTTAAAATATGTTTGTTTATGAATCTAATGTCAAGGCAAATAATGAAACAAAACAAATACATATTCACATAGTCTAATAATCTCAAATATTTATATATATAAGTTATATTTATATACACATGTGTATTTTTACATTGAGTGAGTTTTGTTGCTAAGATGAGCGAACATGTTGCCATCGAGCATCGAGGTGTATTCAAAAGCGGCTGCGCCAGTGGAGGAGGCTCAGTTGAGAACTGGAGGCTGGGGCTGTCGTAATGCGAGGCGTGGCAACATCTATATAATGGTCACCCTAATACTCATACTCTTGCACATACTGCTGCTGCCCCTCTACGTCTACCTCACCTGGCACCACAAGTACTGGAGCAAGCGGGGCTTGATCACGGCGAAGCCGTTGACGCTGCTGGGCACCTATCCGGGGCTGCTTACCCGCAAGAGCAATCTGGTTGTGGAGGTGCAAAACATCTACAAGTAGGTATACATACACCAGATATTATATACCATATATATATATATATATATATGTATTGTTCGCTCCCTTCAGTAAGTATAAAGGCAAACATCGCGCTGTGGGCGTTTTTGTTACGAGACAGCCCCAAATCCTGGTGCTCGATCCCAAGCTGGCCCATGAGATTCTCGTGGGTAACTTCCGCTGCTTTAAGGACTCGCTGACCAGCTCCTATATGCAGCATGCCAAGTGGGACAAGTACGCCAGGCGTAATCCCTTCTGGGCATCCGGCGACACCT